GAAGATACACCTATGGCTGCTGATGGAAGGTTCCACGGAGAAACAGACAGGAGAGACTCCCATGGCTACAGATGGAGAAACCAATGGTTCTTGTGAAAAGAGCAGTGACACCAGCCATCCGAATGCACCCAAACATACTCAGGAGAACGCAAGAGCTAGCCCGCAGGAAGGTACCAACAGAGCATCTCGGGTGGCTGAAAATGGTCTTTCCGAAAGAGACACAGAAGTTAGAAAGCAAAACCACGTCACAGCTGAGGACTTCATGCAGACGTCTGTCATTGGCAGCAATGGATATTTCTTACATAAACCAGCCCTGCAGGGGCAGCCCGTGAGGACTCCCCAAAAAAGAACCCACACACACACCACAACAAAAGCATACAAGACTTCAAATACAATGTAAGTATTAAGATGTTTTAAAGTTTTATTTACACACACACATACACTTATAATTATGAGCACATGTTTGAACAGAAAGGTTTTCTTAAAGAAATAATGAACATTAGACAAGGACTGGATCCGTTTCATTTATTCGCTGCCATGATTCAAACTTTCCTGAGAACCAACTCCAATTCTGAGTCAGCTACCACCAGTGAAGCATTAATACCCAGCGTGTGATGAGAGATGAAACCAAGTGTGAACAACTTTCTGGTCCCATGAGTAGTCAGACAGTTGAAGTTGTCAGGTTCAATTGCATCAATCCCCATTACTCAATGCCCCAAACTGCTCCCTAATTGTTAGGAGCTTAATGTATTCAAAACCACTGTTTAGGCTAATGCTGAAATGTTCCACAATTGAGTCTCCAAAAAGTAAGAGGAGGATTAAAGTGCAATTAAACCATTACTGAACACTCTCGATGGGACAGGAGAACTGGACAGAATAACCAATTCTAAATAGATTGCTTAAGTGGCTAATATCTAATCAATGTTATCACTTATCTTTTAGGGAGAAAATAGTGAAATATGAAAAGCAACATGAAAAGTCAGCGGTACTCCTAAAATGATTTAAACCCTTTACTGATGATCCAATTAGAAAAATACATTACTAACAAAACATTTTACCTTCCAATAATGGTAAGATCTACAGCTACGACTACTGATGCGTTCTAGACAGTCTACCATGTACCGAGCTTTTATACCAATTACATGTAAAGGAAAAGTTACTCTAAAACCAAGTACAGCATATCAAGTAAGCTAAAATATAACACTTAAGAATATTTAATATAAAAATTTTAAGAATATAAAATTAACTTATAAAGCAGGGTTTTTTTTTACATTTTTTCTTTTCTCCACATAATTTTACAAGTGTCCTTTTCCGATTAAAACCAAATCTATTCTTACTTTTTAATTTCTATCAGCTTGTCCTGATTTTTATCTTCTTGACTACTTCCCTGAGTGACAATTTATAAAGCTAAATAAATAAATAAATGAATAAATCTTACTTACACAGAGGGCCAGAAAGAATGACTCTTGAACTTCTAGCTTCAATCCAGGCCCTAAAAATTCTGACTTTATTAAATTATGTGGTGAAGGGTTTGGCCAAAAATTATTTACATTTCTATTCTCTACACACATTTTAAAATATCTGCCTATTAAAGTGTTTGTATGTGTTGTGTGTTTTATCTCGCTTTCTTTTTGGTGGTGCTGCATGAACCCTGGCCCTTGCACATGCTATGTTCTTAATGTTCTTGCACAGTTCTTAATGGCGACAAGACATCTAGGATCACATTTTAAGTACTGATAAAGTTCACTACCCATCTTTTAACATTGCTTTGTTTTACACCGTACATAGTTAAAATGCTAAGATATCAGTAACTACAAATTGTATGTTTAAAAGCCAACTACGATTTATGGAACGGTTAAATTAAAATGAACGCTGCCATGGGGGAGAGGAAGGAAGTCAATGAACAATTTTAAAAGTTGTCTAATTTTTGTTTCTTTCCCTTATAGACTGCTAAAACATTTTACATTTTCACATTGGACACCATTTTAATTGTCTCAGGCAGCTAAACTGAAGTAGATCTGCACTCAGTTTAACTGAGAGGTCAGTGTGCCTCAGTTGCCTGGAGACTGATGGTTGCTACAGCAGCACCAGATAAGCCAGACTACATATGATTCAGCTTCAAGGCAGAATGCATTTACTGCTAGACAGAAACACACATGCAGCTGTCTCAGCATGTAGCATGTGAATATAACTGGATCTATAGCGATATCTATCTATCTATCTATCGATCGATCGATCGATCGATCTATAACATGAGAGACCCATCTTACAGGACCATGGAAGGAGACAGAGTAAAGGCTGTAAGTCCTATGGCTTCTTTGCTCTTCACTCGAATCACATGAAAACTGTTTCCCTTCACTTCCAGACCACTTACCCCCATGCACCTCTCCCTAATGCCAGCCCCAAAACCACTGACTTAACGAATGAGAAGAAATGATATTTTGCTAAATTCAGTCTGGAATTAACCAGAATAATTAAAACAGACTTCTATAAAGACAGAAAAGAAAATGCAAACTGGAAATATTCAAGTGAGACTCAGTCCAAGGGTAAAGAGCTATCAAACAGCATATAGTTATATTTAATTAAAAGATAAAATAATTTATAAGAGCCATTCTTTCATTTGTACTTTCACCCTCCCTAAGTCCTGTTATTTCCATCCCTTACTTTTCCAGAGAAATAAGCTAAAGAAAGGCTGGGCAGTGGTGGCGTACGCCTTTAATCCCAGCATTCGGGAAACAGAGGCAGGCAGATCTCCGTGAGCCAGCCTGGTCTACAAGAGCTAGTTCCAGGACAGCATCCAAAGCAGATAAACCCTGTCTCGAAAAAACAAAAACAAAAACAAAAACAAAAACAAAAACAAAAAACAAAGAAAACCCTTCTAAAGTAACCAAGCTACCGTCATTCACCAAATAGTGCATTTTCACATTTTCATGTTCAAAGATGGCACACATGATCATACCCGTTGTTCAGTCTATTATTTGGCTTAATTCAAATGATGACTGCACAACGCCATTTGTAAAAAACACACATGACAATAATACGTTGTACTCTAATAATACAGCATATGGCCAGGCGGTGGTGGCACACACACCTTTAATCTCAGCACTTAGGAGGCCAAGGCAGGTGAATCTCTGTGAGTTTGGGGCCAGCCTGGTCTACAGAGTGAGTTTTAGGACAGCCGGAGCAACACGGAAAAATCCTACCTTAAAAAACCAAAAATAAATAAAAATTAAAAAAAAAAAAACAGACATTCAGAAAACACCAAATAAATGCATATTTTAAAGTCCCATAATAGAAATTGCGCATATATATAAAAGCTCAAATTTGTATTTTCTTTTTTTTTTAAGCTTGGGAAGAGAATCAAACCTATGGCATCACACAGGCTAGGCAAAGGCTTTCTCCACACAGCAATTAAACACCAACTAGACAAACTAGTGCTTTAGAAATTACACTATAGCAAGTTTTCTTGAATGTTAAAAAATCTATTACTAGAGTTTTGAAAAAAATGAAATAAGATGATTACAGAATTAAGCTGGGTGTGTGGCACAAAGCTATAAAGCCTTGAAACTCTGCAGACAAACACAGAAGACTCAGTTTGAGGACAGGGATGTAGCTTTAAAACAGTGGGGAAAGGCAGGTCAAGCATGCACAAGATGGTTCCGAGGGTAAAGGCACTTTCCTTCCTGTGATACAAGCCCAACTATCTAGGTTTGATCTCCAGAGTCAGCTGTAAAGAAGGAGAACACCAAGACCACAAAATGTCTCAGACCTAAACATGCACACTGGTTTGTGCCCACATATATCAAACACGAATAATTCAAATATACATACTTTAGAACTCTCAAACTATTACCTTTAGAAGTTTACAGTTTAAACGGCTTTCCAAAACATCTAATTATTTTTCTTATTAATAAAATACAAGACTACAGTTTCTCTTTTCTGTGTCTTGTTTTTCGTAGCATTCCTATTGCCAGACCTATTGGAGCTGACCAGTAATCAGTTACTCAGCACTCTAAGGCAAGAAGACCACCAGTTCAAGGCCTACTTAGTCCAAAGAACGAGCTGAAAGCCAATCTGAGCAACTTAGTTGAGACCATACCTTAAAATAACATGTGTGTGTGTGTGTGTGTTTCACACACACACTGAAATTGAGGGCTGCGGACAGGCAGTGACGCCCTTTAATCCCAGCACTCAGGGTGATAGGCAGGTGGATCTCTGTTCCAGGCCAGCCTGATGTACAGAGTGAGATCCAGAATAGCCAGGGCTACACAGACAAACCCGATCTCAAAAAAAGGAAAAGAAAGGGGTAGGGGGCAGGCAGAAGGAAAGAGAGTGAGGAAGGAGGGAGGGAAGGAAGGAAGGGGCAGGCAGAAGGCTGGGTAAGATAAATCTCAATGGTAGAGCACTTGTCTGGTTTATGGGAGCCCTGTACTTAAATAAGAACAATAGCCCTACAGAGTGGGCTGCAGATGTGAGTGTGAAAGAAAGGATAGATAAAGGAGAACCTTACAGTCTATGAAGAGCTCCTTCATTTTTATTTATTTATTCTTTTAAATAATGTATTGAGTGGGTTGATTTATATTTGGGAATTTTGAAAGGTTTATTTTATTTGTTTTAAATTGTGTGTATGTGGGTGGAAATCTGCACAAGTGTAGGTACCAGGAGGTAGAGGAATTAGATCCCTGAGTTGCAGTTACACCAGGTGCTGGAAACTGAACTCTGCTTCCTTTCAAAAGCAGCACACACTCTTAACCAGTGAGCCATCTCTTCAGCCTGGAGTCATTTACTCTTCAATATTATCTCCTAGGTTAACTAAAATAATTTATACAAAAGATTTTCAAATACTATTTGTGCAATTTTAAATGTTCTTCTTTTAAGAGGGGGGCAGCAAAAAGCCCACAAAAACGCCAAATTGGCTCATACATTTTTCTATATTACTGATTTTTGTTGGAGACAATCAAAATGCTTGCTAATAAGGCTGGCTCTGAACTATGACATACCTGAGTTGTAGTGGCTGCAGGGGTTACAGATGACGCAGCTGAGGGGGAGAGGGCTCCCACCTGTTGCAAATGCCCAGATGACTGCTGAGGTATGTGAGAGCTAGAGACAGGAGTACTAGATCCCGAGCCAGACACCACGTTTGGAAAGGATACAGCTACATCATTGCTGTTATAAATACCTGCAACCAAAGAAAGTTTATTTAAATATCTTATAATTTAGCAGTCAAATTGGTCAGACAAGATTTCTCAGATTCCTCCTCTAAATAAATTTAATTAGTGTTTAATAACTACTTAAATAAGCTAACACTAAACAAAATATTTTCACGAAATATTTGTCTAAAAGAATCTAAGTCACTTTTAACTTAGCAAGTATTTTTGATAATTAAACAAACAACCAAAAGTTAAGCATCATATGCATTTCTAAGAGGAAGAAAAGGTTTCCAAACAGAAGGAAGCAGCTGAGAGCTGTGTTTTTAAAACCACTTGGTAAGCCATTCAAAGTGCGTAGAACCCTAGAAATCGTAACTGACGAGCTATAAAATGGACAGAGAGCTTATTCTAGGAAGGCTACAAAGTACAAAATAAGGTACAATAGTATTGGATTTGATTTCAATATTAAAAATGCTAGTGTCCTTCGTGCATCCCAGTTGTGAGACCAGAGGTGGCATCTAGAATAGCCAGGAATTGGGCAGACAGAAGTTTCTGAGTGATCACACTAAGTGAATGAGGCCAACATAAGAATTAAAACACCATGAGATGGAAGATGAGGTAGGAGCTACCTTTAGGGGACAAGAAAATGACAACATACTTGACGAAAACATTTTTTCATTGTTCCACTGGGTAAAGCAGTAAAGGAAGAAGGAAATAGGAAGTAGATTTTAATCATTCTAGAAGAGCTAAGAAGAGAAGCAGGGGTGTGGTGGTGCACGTCTTTAATTCCAGCACTGGGGGAAGCAGAGCAGGAGGATCTCTGAGTTCAAGGCCAGCCTGGTCTACAGAGCAAGTTCCAGGACAGAAAGGCTCCAAAAAGCAACAGAGAAACCCTGTCTTGAAAAACCAACAAAACAAACAAACAAAAACAGGAAAATTATTAAAGCCAGAGAGTGGTGGCGCACGCCTTTAAATCCCAGCACTCGGGGAGGCAGATGCAGACGGACTTCTGTGAGTTTGAGGCCAGCCTGGTCTACAAAACGAGTTTCAGGACAGCCAGAACTGTTACACAGAGAAACCCTGTCTCAAAAAACCAAAAAAAGAATAAAAGAACAGGAGGAGGAGAAGCAGAAGAAAAGAAAATGTCAGCAGAAACTAGTAGTTACTGAGGACAAACTGTGCCCCATCATCTGCCCCCATTTACACTGGGGAAAGGTTCAATGGGTGTGTGTGTGTGTGTGTGTGTGTGTGTGTGTATAGGCATGAAAACATGTAACATTGGAGGACTCACTGGAATAGTGAGAACAGCCTGACAACAGCAGCAAGCTCTAGGTTCTGTGACAGACCCTGTCTCAAGGGAATAAGTCTGAGAATGATAGAGCAGGGAACACACCTAATGTCCTCCTCCAGCCTCTATGTATGTGCACAGGTGAACCCACCTGCACACATGGGGAAGCAACAACACCCATGCACACACCAAGAGGCCAGGGAAATATAGAGAAAAAGAAGGTAATCTTCAACAGGAATGACTGCCCAAAGAAACACTTGACTAATTCCAGGAGACATTTTTGTCAATGTCCCAATTTGTCAAAACTTGGAAATGCTACTGGTACACACTGAGAGGCCAATGCATGTGACACTCTCCTGGATGGCCCAGAGCATCAAGGAGAATGGAAGCCGAGAAACCTGTTACAAACCTGAGAGGAAGAAAGAGGGAAATGGATGGAGAGAAAAGAGGAAGGGAAGGACAAATAAAGAACACTGGCATTTAAATTGAAGAAAAGCAGGAAGGAAGAAATTAAGCAGGCTGAGAAGCTCAGATAAAAAAGTCCTGAGCTTAATGACCAGAATCATTGAAAAACAAGTCAGGCACCGAGATTCCCTGAGGTAGAGACAGGAGGGTCAGCCAGTCTAGGCAGATTGGTGAGTGCCAGGTTCAGCAAAAAAATCTCAAAAATTCAGCTTTGTGATAGAGGGAGATACTATCAGTTTTTGGCCTCTGAATGTATGTACACATATATGAATCTCACACGTAGACACACGCTCTCCTCCCTCATCCCTTCAAAAACTATACCACTAGAAGACAATAATAATTAGTAAATTATATCACTTATCAATGGGGTTTGTGTGACTCTAAAAAAACCTAAATATCAATTTATGCTTATAGAAACACCTATAACCTTCTTCAAACAAGGAAAATAGAAGAATAAGGACACATTAAAAGGCTTCACACCTAGAATTTAGGTACTTATATAATGTTTGCCTCAACAGTTTCTATAAAAAAAATAACTTATTCATTCTGCCTGACAACTCACTGGTTCCCAGATATTAATCTAAGCCTTAGGTAAAATTATTCAGGATACATGGTTTCTGCCTTAAAGAAGCTTGGCAGAAAAGAGAATTATAGCAATCAGAAAAATTCTGATGAAAACTGCTAGACTGTCTTGGGATTGGGGTGGGTTGAGTGCACAAAAAAGGGTATCTAACCTAGTCCTCGATGACAGAGTGAAAACTAAAATTTACTCCCTGGAATGAACATCATTTCTAAAAGCACTACACAGGAGAGAACAATGTTAAGAAAGAAGCATGCGCCAGAGAGCAATGAACATGTGAGCAAGAAAGCAGGGACCAGATCAACAACAATAAAAGTTAAATGGTCAAGCTTAGACACAGTGAGAATTTAGGTCCGGGGATCACTTAGATATAAATCACTGACATCAGGCTAAATAAACCTGTGAACGGATGCTACAATGCTACTGATATACAAAAACAAGGACTCAACGAAGGCAACAGAGACATTATAAAAGCAAAGTGCATGGGGCCTGGTGACTAAGTAGCCCTGAAAAGAATAAGCGAGCACTGTCCATGACAATGCCTAGGCACTAGTAAGTGGGGTGAAGAGCACTGGAGCCAGAACAGCAACGGCAAACAGTATTTAGTTTCTATGTGCAGCTTGTGCAGATAACAGTGGTGGCATCTAAAACTTCAAGGCTTTGCATAGAAGCAGACATAAATTTAAAGAGAGTGACTTCTTGTCCCAGTCAGAATGGCTATCATTAAGAACACAATGACAATTTCTGGCAAGGATGTGGGGAAAGAGGAACCTTACTCATTGCTGATGGGAAGGTAAACTTGTGTAGTCTTCACGGAAATCACCATGAAGACTTCTCAAAACCTAAGAAGAGAAGTATCATGTGATCCAGCTCTACCACCGGAGATATATCACTTTGGGATACATTACACCTAAAGGATTCTAAGTTGGCTTACCATAACGATACTTGATCAGTCATGTTCATTGCTACTCTATCCACAAAAGCCAAGAAAAGGAATAACACTAGATATTCATCAACAAATGAAAGGATAGGGAAAATGTGGTACATGTGCACAATGGAATGGGCGGGGGGGGGGGGGGGGAGAGTGGTTCGAGACAGGCTTTCTCTGCATAGCTAGCCCTGATTGTCCTTGAACTCACCACCTTCCTTGAATTCCTGAGTGCTGGGATTAAAGCTGTGTGCCACCATTGCCTGTCAACACAATGGAATTTTATATAGCCATAAAGAAAAGCAAAATTAAGAATGTAGGAAAATTGATATAACTGGTTATCATAATGTTAAAAGAAACTAGCAAGACTCATAAATACTGCATGTTATTATGCAGTAACTTCTTATGGGGAATTTAGACTTAAAAGTATATGTGTGGGGAGGTGGGGAATGGAAATAAAGCAAAAAAATATGTTTGATGATCTTGTAGATAGCAAAATCAAAATTAATAAAAACGATTTCCTAATACAAATCAAAGTATCAAGGGATTATCATAGTCTTGGAGATTGCTGTGGTCATAAAATACTTGCAGAATCTAGAACATAAGAGGATGAGCATGAAGTCCCAGGGCCAGGCCAGCCCCGTGTTGGCAGGAAAGCCAAGTGCCTGTTATACAAGCCTAACTTGATTTAAATATCCAAAACCCATAAAAGTAGAATGAGAAAACCAACTCCACATCTGTGCAGTTAATAAGCACATGTGCTCATGTACACACATGCACGCACTCGCACATGCACACAAACAAACCCCATAAAGTACATTTTTTTAAAGATTTATTTATTTATTATGTATACAACATTCTTTCCATGTATGCCTACATGCCAGAAGAGGGCACCAGACCTCATTACATATGGTTGTGAGCTACCATGTGGTGGCTGGGAATTGAACGCAGGACCTCTGGAAGAGCAGTCAGTGCTCTTAACCTCAGAGCCATCTCTCCAGCCCCATAAAGTACATTTTTAAAAACCCATGAAGACAGATCTTGAGGCCATAGCACAGTGACAGTATGAAATCTTCTGAACTTAAACTTTCTGTTGCTCTGTGTTATGGCTCAAAGTTCTAAGTAGTAAATATTTATTTAGAAGAACACAAATTTCATTAAGAAAACTGAATTTTTAGGTCCTATTTAAAAACAGATGATCTAAGTCAGCTGGTGGTGGGGCATGTCCTTTGATCCCAGCACTCGAGAGGCAGAAGCAGGAGGACCATACAAACTCTGGGGGAAGGGGAGTTTGGTCATGCTGGACAGAAACGAAAGTAGCACTTCTGGGACTGGAGAGATGGCTCAGCAGTTAAGTGTTGTAGAATATTACTTTAAGATGTGCTACATTTGTTTATGCTGTGATACATTTGCTTTTATGATGCAAAGATCTGTTGTGTTCTTTTATGCTGCATTTAACTATGTGAAGCTGTGTTACTTTGTCTGTCTAAAACACCTGATTGGTCTAACGGCAAGTCAGGAGAAAGGATAGGTAGAGCCAATGGGCAGAGAGAATAGGGAAGAAAAGATCAAACAGAGGTGGAGAAATAGAACATCAGGGCCCAGCGACCCAGTTACATAGCAACCAATAGAGGAAGAAGTAAAGAAAGGTATACAGAAATAGAGGAAGGGAAAAGCCCAGAGGCACAAGATAGATGGGATAATTTAAGTAAAGAAAAGCTGGCTAGGAATAAGCTAAGCTAAGGTCGAGCATTCATAAGAATAAACC